AACTGCTTGAATGCGGTTCAAACTACAATATAATAAAAAAAATCTAACAGAATTAAACACTTTTCAAATCATGATGGAGGACAAATGTTTCAAACTCTCAAACACATGCAGCCATTGTGAAGTTCATTACAGAATATCGAAAAAGAATCGAAATGAATACTGAACATATTTTCTTGTAAAACCACACAGAGCTTATAGCTGTGCAGATGAGCAGAGAGAGGGAAGGACGGAGGGGCCCCTGCTGCTCTGGCAGCTTTTCCATCATAGTGAATGGAACCAATTATAAATCTAAAGCAATTTCTCCACAGCCAGCAAGAGTCCAGTTCCAAAGATCGGAAAAAAACAAGCAGAAAGGGGTGGGGAATAAAAATATATAATAAAAATAAAACATCATAAAACTGTTTATCACGCACTCGGGCAAAAATGCTCTGTTGCCTGAGTGAATGGCTGTAAACAGTACTGATACAAAACAGTCTAAAAGGAAACAAAATAGGACATTTAAAGCCGAAAAGTGTCTAAAACGTCTCTTAAAAACAGGTTTAGTATGGTGATTGTCAAATGACTAGGTCTTTCAGAGCCAAAGGTCTGGCTTTGGCAGAGGAAGCCCTTGTCAACTGTAAACACCTGCAACATCCATGACCACACAGTTTGCAGACACATCAAAAGCAACACCAACCACATAATAAACAAACCCTAAACTGTAAAACAATACAGTAGCCTTTGGCTTTTGAACATACCATGGTATCCAAAAAGCATACAGATGAAGAAAACATCCTACCTATTTCATTACAAAACAAAACTGCTGTGCTGAAGGATAGGTGTTTATACACCATCGTTTAAAAGTTTGGGGTGAGTCCGATTTCTGTTTTTGAAAGAAATAAATACATTTAGCAACGACACATTAAATTGGTCAAAAGTGACAGTAGAGACACTTATAATGTTAAAAAAGTATTTCATGTATTTCATATAAATGCTGTTTTTTTTACTTTCTATTAAAAAATAATCCAAAGAGTTTCCACAAAAAATATTAAACAGCACAGCTGTTTTCAACATTGATAATAAGAAGAAATGTTTCTTGAGCACCAAATCAGCATATTAGAATGATTTCTGAAGGATTGTGTGACGCTGAAGATTGGAGTAATTGCTGCTAAAAAAAATCAGCTTTGCATCACAGGAATAAATTATACCTTAAAATATTAAAATAGAAAACAGTTATTTAAAATTGGAATACTATATCAATAATACTATACCTATTTTATTCTATTAATAGAATAAAACAAATGCAGCTTTGGTGAGCACAAGAAACATTAAAAAATCTTATAGATCCCAAACTTTTGAAAAGTAGTGTATATTGCAAATCAAAAATCATAAAGCATTTAAAAAACTCTTTTAAAACCTTATATTTGAGAGAGAAAAAAAATCTTCACAACTATTTTCAACAAGTGAACTTTAAGGAAATTTTTAAGAATTATTTATAAAATTCCATTTATCAGAACATGAAAGTGGCATGTCATCTATCCTGGACAGACAATGATGACAACTAATGGAGTATGTGTTTGCAGAACAGTTTCAGAGCATGTGTGTGACTCTGACAGTGAGCTATAGGTCTCTAAAGACGAGTTATCGAGAGAGTGTGAATAGTCTTGTGAGAATGTCTCCATTAATCTGTGCTTGTCAAACGATCCTTAATCTTTGTACAAATATCAGCTTTACACACTGAGCTGTTTGTCTGCAAACAGTCGCTGCTTACTTACCAGGGCCTGGAGTTTATCAATGATCTCACCGCCTTGCAACAGACACACTGACACAAATAGCAACGTGCCGCTATGTTTGTGCGTTTCCCTGATGTCAGAGACAACTCGGGTCAAACATAATACAGTCTTCACAACAACTAGTGAAGTGACAAGGTAACACATTACTGAGCATTTCACAAGTTTTAGAGTTTTAAAGTAAATGCACATATTGCTCTTAAAGGAATAGTTCATTCAAAAATACACTCACCCTCAGGCCATCCAAGATGAGTTTGTTTCTTCATCAAAACAGATTTGGAGAAATTTTGCATTACATCACTAGATCAACAATAGATCATCTGCAGTAAATGGGTGCCATCAGAATGAGAGTTCAAACAGCTGATAAAAACACCATAATAACCTACAAGTAATTCACACAAATCCAGTCCATTGAGTAATGTTTTGTGAAGCAAAAAGCTGTATGTTTGTAATAAATGTATCATTAAGTGTTTAATTTCGAACCTCTATCCGTATTTATTTCCCCAGGTGAAAAATTGTCTCGACTGAATCAGGAGAGAAATATGCACAGATCAAGCACCATTTACAAGTAAAAACAGTTCTAAACAAATATGTAGGCGGAGAGGACAATAGGGGAAGCATTTTTATGGGTTATATGGACTGTATTATATGGACTTTATGGGATATTTTGGCCATTAATAGCTTTAATGTTTCTTACAAACATGAATCAAACTATGTAATGCTAAATTTCTCCAAAATCTGTTCCGATAATGTAACAAACTCATTCTGGATGGGCTGAGGGCGAATAAACTTTCAGCAAATTTTCATATTAGGGTGAACTATCCCTTTAACAATTAGGGTTTTCCAAGAAAACAAGAGGAACATGAGAAAGTGAGAAAGTCAACCAGCCACCTGGAAATTCAGGTGTTATCATGTGCCTAATGAAATGGAGAAAGCTCTGAAACTAAATTACCTCGACCAGGTGCGGCTCCAACAGCGACTTAAGAGACATACTTTAGAGACAATTATTCTTCACTGTGGGCTAAAAATTGCCTCTTGACAGACTTTTGTGCTTTGGATAATTCAGAGCACGTTTGGAAACAGCAGACTGACACGCCGTGCATTCCACTATGAGAAGATAATCCTGATTGGAGAGCATCTTTTACCCGCACGCACACACAAACTCGCAGATTGTTGCCTCCAGGCTGTTATGACTGCATGAACATACCCGCTGAAACAGACATGAAAGCCACCCTGCAGGAGTTTTTTATTACACAGCCTTCTTCTGCAAATTAACAGAAAAGCTACACCCTTTAAGAAAACAATAAGTTGGTCCAAAAACCTCTGCGGCAACAAAAAACCTCCACATTCAACAAGACTAATCAGCTCTCATTTGGTCACACACACGCTAGAAATGAGTTCATAATGCTGCAACCTCGTCGCCTATTTTTCTATGAAAACAAGAGCATTTAAAGACATATGTCACATCCCTGACATCTCTACCACGCTGATACCTGATCAGCCTCGTCCCTCCCATCTATATGCCTTCATCAGCCTTTCCAAATCCCCAGACGGGCCTCTCTGGCTCAGCTATGGGATACCTGTTACAATGCGGAGTAGTGAGGGCATGTGATCTGAAATCTGTGCATCCATCTGTGCATAGCTAATAGGCCTTCCCACCATTATAACCAAATAAGGTCAGAGCACTATGAAAGCCAACAAGATAATCAGACTGGAATCAATTATGGAACAACTTTGATCCACCCGACCACCAATCATCTTGAGCAAAAACCAGCTACCACAGTTTTTCCTCAAATTGAATTCTTGGCATTCGAGTAGAGCGATCTGGCTCGCAAGAATCTATCAACTAGTTTGAAACACACGCAAGGTCAGCCAGCAATCCTCTCAGTTGGCCTGTTTTCTTTCTTTTTTGAAAACAATGCAGCAACTGGGCGCTAACATTTTGGGGCCCTGATAAACTACATTTGCAGCTTTGTAACAGTATTGTTCTGTCTTAACGCTATAATAAGCATGCGGGACTGTATGCTTTTTTTTTGCAAATAAAATATCAGAATTCAAATCTTTAGTAGTTCATCAGTTAGGTTTGGTTTTGTCTCCACACTACAGCAAGGCTTTCTGAGCAAATGACATCTTACAGATCAACAGTATCATTTTCATGACTTATATTGATATTTTTTATAATAACCAAATCATTAGACTACAACAATAAAACATCATATGCATTATGAATATTTTGTTTATTATTATTATTGTTATATTCATTCATTGCCATGTATTTATTATCCATCATATTATGTTTTGCAATCTAAATAGTCACAAATGTATTTTTTTCCTAACAGTTAGCCATGTCTAACAGACAAAATGATAACTGATTAAGAAGAAAATGTGTTAATATCTATAAAAACTTCTATTTTAGACCCAATGAAGTGAAACTAGATACCAATAAAGCAAATATTTTTATATAACTGCTACAACACTTCTTTGTAATTGTTTACAAACAAACAGCTTTAATATTTTGGGCACAATTTCCTAATGACCAACAATAATCAACATTTGACCAATTTGTTTTATCAACATAAAAAAGTAAAAAAAAAAAAAAAGTCAGAATGTTAATAGAATGACAAAATATATAAACATACATGATTTATTCAAGTGTAAAATTGTGTTGCGCGCAGTAATGTCAACTACTACAGCTGAATGAGGCCTGTAAAACTATGCAAAAGTTTTCATAGAGACTTCATAACACATTTGTTGACAATGATACGTTGATACAAACATTATAAATATCATAAATGCAGACGTATTTTAATTTTCGCCTATGATTAGCATTGGGGGGACAAATGAACATCACAGCCGCAGCCGAAGCGCATTTAGCCATCTTTTATTGAAATACCGTCACAAATACGACTACTAAATACTTTTTAAAGAAGAAAAAACAACAAACGTAACCTCGAAGAGTCGGGAATATATTACAGCAATCTGATAAGAGAACGTCGAAACAAAATAGCCAGTTAGCTAACACCCGCATCTTTTAACAAAAAATATAAAAAGGCATCTTTCTGAGATTAACAACACGCGATGATTTCTACAGGGTGAGTGTTCGCATAAGTGCAAAAATGTAACGTTAGGAAATACTGTGAAAAGTGAAGGAACCTCGAGTAAGCTATTAGAATAGCATGGTGGGGTTCCTAAAAACAAGAGATGTTTTGGGGGGAGGAGAGAGAGACTTACCAAAAACGTGCAGTAGTTCGGAGTTGAATCCAGTAGTTTTTCTTTGGTTGACTTTTTCCAATGTTTCTCGTTGTTTAATCCAAGAAAACTGCAATTCCTAACCTTCTTTACCCCGCAAACCGCTACTGCTTCAGTAATTCACTGCTGCAGCAGCACCGACATTTTCTTCGGCTCCCCAAGTTCTTGCATTGAAAGGACGTTTTTGGATGACTGAGTCCTGGAACAATTCTCCCTTTTGCGAGGAACTTCTCGGGTCCTCCCACTTCCCAAGAAGGAGGAGGGATCTGAACAATAAAGATTCCTTCCCAAATCTCAGCGCAGTTCACGCTTGTCTCGCCTAAAGAAATAGACTTTATAGCTTGAGTAGAACGTTTGTGACGAGAACTTTGCGTTATCTTCGCGCGAAACCTAAACGTTCGCAAAGTTACGTGCGCTGGATAAGGAGCCCCTCCCCCTCCCCCTCCCGCTGCCTCTCTGTTCTCCCTGATTTGGTATGCGCTCGTCCCCGCAGGGCTTGCATTGACCCCCGTCTATTGAAGCGACAGTCCCGCAGGCGCAGCTGTACCGTGGTGTGCGGGAAAACCTCACCGTGAGGACCCCCGCATGTGTCTCTCAGAGCCACCGGGTTCATTCATAACCGACCATTCTGGCAAACATCATACCATTACACAGACACGGTCAATGGTGAAAGGCACTACAAGACCTCCCACCATTTACCTGAACTGTTATTTCAGCATGGAAAACTATGGCAAAGTGTTTTAGTATGTATTTCTTAAAAACAAAAAATGTAATGATTAAAATATGTTTTTTTTAAATGACTACTATTTTCATAACTACTTTTTTAATCTCACTAGTTTATTATTTTCAATTGTAAACTTAAACTAAAAGTTACTAGTAACTAATCCAATAGTACTTCTTACTATACTAATGCTACTTCCTATTGGTTTCCTGAACTACTTCCTATGTTTCCTACTGTACTAATACCACTTCTCATTCGTTTCCTTTACTACTTCCTCCTACTGTACTGTAGCCTATATATATAATGAAATGAAAGACACCAGAAAAAAATAGAGAGAGAGAGAGAGAGAGAGAGAGAGAGAAAACGTAGCAATTTCTGTGAGAAAATAGTTTCAAAGTGAATCCATCTTCTTTAGCGTAGTTGTGATTGAAAATGAAAAAGACACTGCTGACTAACTTCTAATTCGAATATACACACTAGTAACATAAAAATAGATACTAGTAAGTTAAAAATACTAAATACCTTGTGTTTGCGTGTCACCTGTTGCTCCTCAGGTGAAAGTAAAGTCTCTGAGTATGTTATATGGCGATGTGTGTGGTTGGTCTTGCTTGGTTTTTGCATGCCATGTCAGAGCCACATGTTTTCTTTTTGGTTTGCTTGGCATGAGAGCTGATGTTATAGCAGAGGATGAATTAGACTTCCATGCATATTAGCTGTGCGGCTCTCTGCCCATGTGGACACAGCTGCAGTTGACACACCAACAATCAGACCCTCTCCAATTTACACACACACTCTGCTGGCATGCACACATGCTGTAATTGTTCCAGTAATTAGGGGAACCTCAATACTGCTCATTGTTCTAATCATGTCATCAGTCTTAGTATGCAGGTGGGTCTAAGTTATTACCACTAATTAAAAAATATATTATAAAGGACCTAGCTGTAACATACTCTACCATAACACACAGGAAATCTTAAAATATGAGTTTTTGAGCTCAAATTAGTCATTTGTTCCAGTTTTAGCTTCAGTCATTTCTTCATTAAAAATCATTAAAAACTGATGTTTAATGTACAGTTATGAGAAGTTGGATTTTTGACCAATGAGATGCCGTGGTGGGTGGGGCTACACAGTGTGACTGCAGAAACTGAAATCAAATATTACAGTATAGCAATAGTAACTCCTAGATCATGGGTTTTATTTCAAGGGAATGTACAGTCTGATAAAATACAAAAATATATATAACTCATTTTGAATGAAGTATCTGGATGAAATATATATATGAAATATAAATGAACCTCCTGGCTCTCTCTCTCTTTCTCTCTCTCTCTCTCTCTCTATATATATATATATATATACATAAAAAAAAAATGTTGTTGTTGTTTTTTTGGTCTCAAAGTTTTGGTATAATTTGAATTCGTATAGCAATCAAAAGCTCAAATTATGAAGCATCATTACTGCATTACTGAATTTGGTGTGCAGTGATGACAAGTTTGACTTGTTGCCCTGTTCTTCTAATTAGATTGGTCTCAGGTAACTTTTAATAGGAGATATCTGATGTCATATGTAGCCTGTTATAATGTATAATTAGTTTGCTGTTTTTACACAAATAATTCCACAACTGAGAGGCAGCAATAATAAGGAATGGCTGTGGCTTGTCTTTTGTGGTTTTTCTGAAGTTTATAGGTGATGTACACGGTTTGGCTCTTTGACGATAGAGTTACGGATGTTTGGAAGTGTGTATGTTATGCTGCAATTTATGGTTCACGTTTGGCATGTGCAGCTTCATTTGGCACCAACGCAGTGCAAATAAATGTGGGTGCATCTGTGGTCTGAGGTTGCATATGCAAAGGATTACAGCATTTGTATATGTGCTGCTGTATACACAAATCCTATTTATTTATTAGTAAAATGTAATGTATTTATTCTTTTTTTCTGTATTACCTATATAAATTATATTAGTACATTACTTATTTTTGAAAGAAATAGTTCACCCAAAAATGAAAACTTGCTGAAATTGTTATCACCCACATGCCATCCAAGATGTGGATGAGTTTGTTTCTTTATTGAAACAAAATTTTAAATTTACATCACTTACTCAACAATGGATACGCTGCAGTGAATGGGTGCCGTCAGAATGAGAGTCCAAACAGCTGATAAAAACACCACAATAATCCACAAGTAATCCACACAACTCTAGTCCATTAGTTAACGTCTTGTGAAGTGAATATCTGTGTTTGTAAGAAACAAATCCATCAAGGCATTTTAACATTAAAACGTCATTGCTGGTCAAAATATGAGTCATAATCCAATAACGCTTCCTTCAGTGAAAAAGTTCATCCCCTGTAATCATCTCACACCAAAATCCACCAAACTGTTAGACTTGTTTTCACTTGTAAACAATGTTTGATCTGTGAATATTTCTCTTCTGATTCAGTCGAGACAGCTTTTTCACTGGAGAAAGCAATATTATGGATAGAGGACTCGTATTTTAGCCGGAAATAACAGTTTGATGTAAAACATCTTAATTATGCATTTGTTTATTACACAAACAAATTTTGTGTGTTTTACTTGTGATGTTTTTCTCAGCTGTCTGGACTCTGACGGCACCCATTCACTGCAGAGGATTCACTGTGATGTAATGATACATTTCTCTGAATCTGTTCCAATGAAGAAACAAATTAATCTTAATCTTGGATGGCCTGAAGATGTGGAAATTTTTCATCAAATTACATTTTTTGGGGGGTGAACTATTTCTTTACCTTGGCTGTAATATTAAAGTTTTTTAAAGACTTGTAAAAGGTCTCTCAGAGAGAGAGAGAGAGAGAGAGAGCGAGAGAGAGAGGTACAGGGAGGATTTCAGGCCCTGGGTGCCATTTTCCCTCCTTGGCCTGTGCACCATAGGCTGAATTAGGCACAGACAAAAGCCTTTGTGGCCCAGCCATGAAAGGGCCATTAACCATGCTGCTATTTCAGAGGCCAAGCCTGCAGGGGAGCTGCCTCCCAGAATGCCTCTGGCCCAGCATGCATTACTCCCAGCATGCATTGCTCTCTCTCTCACCAATACCTCCATCAACTTCACAGCTTCATAATAAAGACCAACAGATTGATATGTAGATGATTGCAGTGATTATAGAGGATACGTTTAAAATAGCAGGCCTCTTGTGGCCTAAGGCTTTTCACACTCGTTGCTTAAAGCACTGCTATGTAAGGCAGTTTTGTCTAATAAATGTGTATGTGTGTATGTGTGTGTGTCTTGTATCTGTGTAGTTGTGGAACAGTCCTTGCAGTGTGGCAAGTCTGAAAGTGTTCAGTACTATTTAATTGTGTGTATTTGTGAAGTATGCATGTGTGTACACGTGTGCCTTTGGAAGAATGCTAAGAGTCTCAGGGTCTAACCTTATTACTTGACACGAACGCCATGACAACGACCCCCAGGCACCGCGTCTACCGCTGACCTTAGCAGCTGTGTCACTTCCTCAGTGTGACAAAACTAAGAATGAGTTGCTCAGTGCCTCACACTAGTACACTTAGTGCTTAAACAACAGTTTACTTGTACATTTAAACTCTTGCCCTAAACATTTACATACGTAAGGGCCGTTAACTATAAAGTTTTATTAACTGTTATAATTCTATGAGAATAGGGAAGTCCACATCACAACTATAGAATCACTTTCAGATTTTTTTTTTCAGAATGGTGGTATTAAAACGTGTATATTATTAAAACTTTACAGTTAGTTATCATCCTTAGTGTGAATGTCTCTTAACAATTATTTAAACTTTATAGTTATAATTATAATTATATTTATCGTCCTTGGTGTGAAATGTCCCTTTACAACAATTATAATTATTTAAACTTTATAGTTATAGTTATAATTATAGTTATCATCCTTGGTGTGAACGTACTGTGACAACAATTATTTAAACTGTAAAGTTATAGTTATATTTACAGTTATCGTTCTAGGTGGGAACGTCCCTTTAGAACAATTATTAAAACTTTACACACTCTTGGTGTGAACATCCCTTTAGAATCATTATTAAAAAATTATAGTTATAATTATCATCCTTGGTGTGAACAACTTTTACACTTTTTACAATTTACGACTGAACACTTCATTTGAATTTCACAACAAATTTCACACACAAATTTCATGATTCATCAATAACTTTTATACAATTCTAAATCTATGAAAAATTGTATGTACTGAAACCACAAAAATCACATACTCTGGGTAGCGTTGTAAATGTGAAACTTTATCTTTTATCTTTATACTTTTTATTTAATCATAAACAGTAAAAGAGTAAGAAAATATACGTTATAGGCTTGAGCTGGGTGGTTCTTTACCAGAAAAAACTGCAATGAGGACTAGACTTTATGCCAAGTCTTCATGCCCAGAACTAAACCCAGCTATTAGTAAAAATAGCTGAAATATATTTTATTTGCATTATTGCAACTTAGAAATCTTAGAAAGGTCATGTAAACAAACAAATTGTACAAATGTTCATGCATGCACACTACTAAAACATATAAATCACATTCCTCTCAGCAAAACATTTCACGAAGCCCCATTTCACGCTGTGTAAATGTGAAACTTTATCTTTTATCTTTATACTTTTTATTTAATCATAAACAGTAAAAGAGTAAGAAAATATACGTT